TGTACTGGCTTGCAGTCGGTGAGGTTTTCTGTGACGTTGAATGACCCTTGGCAAGCTCACGGGCAAGTTCGTTGCACGAATCCTTGAGATAGTTGACTCTGTCTGTATGCATAGTATAACGACGACAGATGATTGGGTTGGACTGGCGTCCTCGTATTTCCTCATAGCTAATCTCACAGTATGCATCCTTGAGGTCGGGGTTGCTGGTGGTGGTGGATTGGTTTATCCTCATTCTTGCCTGCTCTTCTTTATCGAGGTCCATCGGAAGAGGTTTGGGAGCGGCGCTCTTTTGATCCCGTCCAGAGCAAGATCGAGCTAGGGTGTGCAAGACTATGGTGACGCCTAGCGAATCCATTACCTGGTGATGCCAGGCGAGGCATAAAACAAGCCCGTCTTGCATTACATTGGCCTGGAACCGCACAGCAGGTATGGGGTTGGAATTTGAGAGTGTCTTCGGAACGTTTAGCATTTCATAATCGATGACTGGGGAGGCTAAAGCATCTGTTATAGTGTGTTGATGGCGTTTGAAACGTAACAGGGGGCATTGGAGGAGGTCCGATGTCGTCGGTGGCTGCAACTCGGTGACGTTTCTTCTTTTCTCCTTCTGCACCATCGCAACATTGCCAGCCAAGAATGGCCACTGGGATATCAAGTCTGATAGGCCCAATTCTAGCGCTTCAACTGCTTCAAACGGCTGTTCAGGTCGAAAAGACATATAAGCGAACACATGATGAGGAGGGAGCAGGTGATCTAGAGGCGTGAGGGTATAAGACTGGAACGACGGAGTATGAGTTCTGGCGGTCATTTTGTATGCCGAAGAATCACACCGAGTGTCGTGAAGGGATGGGTCTTTGAGATCCTATATATAAATAATGCCGTGGAGTATATAAAATTCGAAAACCTAGTCGAATGAAGATAGAAAGTCAATTGAACTTACGCGCAGATGATGGCATCTTAAGCTTTCAATTAACGTCCTGTAGCCAGGTTTCGTCTGTATGTATGAACAGGTTTCTTCAGGGTTAGAGGAGGCTATAGCATGTAGATAATGATTGTAATGTTCCGCCCACTGTCCGTTTTATGGATGTGGCTCGTAGATAGCCAGTTGATGATAGGTTGTCCGTCTGCAAGCGTATCCCACAGTAGACAGAAGCACGCATGGTAGAGGTGGAGTATGGTAAGGTTTCGTGTCGGGAAATGCTCAATTGAGGAATTGACATGATCTTTTGAAATGACACGTTTGACCAAGTTTCAGACTCAGCGAATGTATAGTTCTGGTTCCATTGATAACTTCGTGATGCAGTCAGTATACCTGGGGTGCTCATTGTTGATCTCTTGCACACTTGAACTAGATGTAGTCGCGATAGCGCATCCCACTTTCTCGCCAAGCCAAAGCGTGACTGCATAGAAGCGACTTGTTTCATTATAAGTTGCTCTACTATAGGGGGTTAATGCTCTTATATTAGGGAGAGTGATGGTGGTCTCAGATGGTGGGGATTTTTCGATTCTAGAAATCAGACGATGCAACATCGTATCCCAAAAGGGACCCCGACATCATGACTCAGCAGAACAACCCTCTTTCACCAAATAATTATTAGCTAGCTATAAAACTCAATAACCCCAAAACATACTCAATTGAGGGCATAGTCGAGCTGGATACTTTGCAAAGAAAAGCAACATGTCCGACAATGACCTCCTTGCCACCGTATCCCAAGAACTCGCCGGGACTCGATATGCCTCGTCCTCTCTAACCCCACTAAGCGGGGGAACCGCCAACTTTGTCTATCGAGCTCAGCTTGATCAACCGCTCCCAGATGGAACAAAATCCGTTATAGTAAAGCATACGGAGGCATTCATTGCCCTTAATCGGGAATTTAAACTCCCGGCTGAGCGCTGTGTTGGTATCCCCTTGTGAAGTCAAACAGACTACAAACATTGAGTTAACATATTTCATATAGCTTTTCGAGGAATCTATCTTGAAGGCCCTCGATGGATTCTCTAGTATACTTGACACTACCAAGAAGTCTGAGCCACACGCTAAAGAAGTGATGGTCAAAACGCCTCGTCTCTTCTCATTCAATCGCGAAACCAACACTGCTGTTATAGAAGATCTCCCGGACTCTCTGGACCTCAAGTCCTACTTAATCTCCACAGCTGCTTCCAACAACGTCACTCAAGAATGGGCATTTTCCATAGGTCGTGCACTAGGGAAATGGCTACAATCATTCCATCACTGGGCTGATAATGAGGCCCAGTCTGGGGTGGCGGCCGAGATGGACAAGAACCAGTATATGAGAGACTTGAAGTTCATGGTCAACTACGATGCTCTGGTGAATACAATTGATAAATACCCGACTATACTTGGAGATTCCCGGGATGTGTTCAGCAAGGTTCGGGAAATGGCGGCCGCAGAGCTGAGTCGAAAGGACGGAAGTGGGTTTGGGATAATTCACGGTGATTTTTGGTCGGGAAAGTCCGTACCTCCCCTGCCTTGATAGAACGAAGAGCAAGCAAGCTGATGCAACATAGTGTCCTTATCCCCAAAACGGCCCTCGAGCAATCAAATCACCTTCCCTTATTCATCATCGATTGGGAACTTTGCCACTGCGGTGCTCGAGCCCTCGATCTTGGCCAGATGTTCGCTGAGCTCTACCTGTTGAAGCATTTCAAGGACATTGATGCCGCGACGTGGATTATTCAAGGCTTTATGAAGGGGTACCAGGATCTGGATGATGAGACGGTCTTTCGGGTATTGATCCACGTTGGCGTCCATTTCATTGCCTGGGCACCTCTAATTCCTGGCTGGGGTACCTCGCAGCAGGTTGAAGATGCTGTTCGTCTGGGTAGAGATATCGTCACCAAGGCATGGGAAAAGGATAGAAGCTGGTTTGAAGGGGTATGGAAGTCACTGTTTCGAGATCGGTAGATCATTCTGAATCTCAACACCGTTCTCCATGTATCTAATCAGCTGTGATATTGGGTGGCACGGTGAGAGACAATTCACCTAACTGGCCCCACCCTTGAATCATAAGCCAAGCTATCAAGGAGACTTGAACGAAAACCCGTGCACATTGCCGGTTGATTCAGTGACAGAAATTCCCTTTTCTAAGAATAGGCGCACCCTACCTTATTGGGCAATAGGGTCAAACGGCGGGCCCTGTTGCACCCCAACCCAGTGATCGTGCTTTTGCTTCCTCCCATCATCTCATCATTAGACACTGACCACCTCACTGAACATCTACAAGCCATGGCTCCATCTAAGAAGAAGCGAAACCAGCCCAAATCGAATCCCTCATCATCCAAACGTCACAAGATCGTGGAGACAGCTCCTGAGGCGCCTGACCAGTCCGAGAACACTGTCCCTCTACCGACCGTTCCACTCCAGGCTCAGCCTGTGAGCCCGGTAGACTCATCATCCAGTAACGTCTCCTTCAAACTCCATCAACGCCTCGAGCGCTATGACGAGCTTGAACCGTCCGGCATTATAGTCGACGTTGAGCCACCGGACCATGTCAAAGAATATGCATATAGCACGGTCCTGGGTAGCAAGAAGCTCCGAATGGTTGGGCAGAGCAAAGTAGTGGAAGCGTTCATGGCGAAGATAGCTGAGCTCAGCCGCAGAAATAACATGAAACATGAGTGGGTAGGGCTCATACATAATGCCATTCTTTACATGAACCTAGAGAACAGGGTAGCGTTCAGGACTGTTGAAGATAAAGGTATGTGAGACAAAATTTTCCCTAAGTGTTGATTGTCTTTAGCACCAGATCTGACATCCCAGAAAGAGTTGCAGAGAGACATAATGACAAAGCTCATGCAAAGTTCAGAACACCGACCTCGACCTGACATTTGTGTTGGGTTAAGCGAGTCTCACCTACGAGAGATCCTATACAAAGACCCGGACGATGCGGCCGCAAGAGAATATTGGAACAAGTTGAAAGAAAAGGATGGAGTGATCAGTGATCCATACGCGAAGCCGCAGTATCTGCGCTTTCCATTCTTCATCGTGGAAGTCCGGGCCGACTTTAACGGGGATAATTTGCATCAGGCCCAGAATCGAGCTGCAGTTGGTGCTGCAGGTGCACTCTGGATGCTTCAGATGCTCTCTGAAAATAAGAGTGGTACGAAAAGCGCGAAGTCCAAGAAGGGCTTTGATGTTACCAACCTTCCGGTTTTCTCACTTGTCTCGGAGGGCGCTACATTCCAACTCTGGGTTCATTATCGGAAAATGGTTCCGGGGGACAGCACGGACAAGATCGAATACTGTTCTGCCCACGTGAAATCATGGCATGCAAATGGTGAAAAAGCCTGTTATAAGATTCTGAGAAATGTTTACGCCATTCTAAGATGGGGAGTGGGTGAATACAAGAATAAGGTGGTTGAGGCGCTCAAGTCATATGTATAATGGCTCTTCTTCGACTACTGCTTTTGCTGGTAAGGGTTCTTCCTATTTGTTTAAGATATTCTACAGAAAAAATGCTAACCCCTGGTCTTAAAGACTTTGCTATTGAGGGGAGACCCTATGTTTGGGCTCTATGAGATCACAAACCCCCATTCTTTCTATTTTTCAGATTTATACTTTTGTCTAGGAATTGGTTGTTTTGTCGTGGTTTAGGAGTGTTCAACATCTCTCTGTTTCTGGCTACTTATCGGATTGTTTCATTGGTCACTTTAATACTTACTGTTTACGGACTACAATTTCTTACTTGGGCCACTGATATTCCTTCATCTTTCAATACTGGACACTATCATTGCTTTATCATCAAAACAATATGAAATATCAAAAAGCTTGCTATACTTGTTGATAGTCATTAGATATCTTCATGCTTCCCTCATTTACCGAGCTATCACTGTTACGAGTCTCTTTGCAGTAGACTGTATATGCATTCTACGGACAGTCAAGTCAGGCTTGCAAGTATCGGCTACCGCCATGTCTATTTCTGTGCAGACTACAAAGAACAGAGATGCTAGGATATATACTCGCATTCCAGACGAAGCCCAGTTCATAGTTTGGCACGGTATGTGCTCCGGATACCTTCCAGCCCTGACGGTCCATCGTAGATTTGCTGTTCTGCAAGGCGGGTGTTGATCTGTCGCATAGTCGGTTAGTGCTCGAAAGACGCTAAAAGAAGTGGAATGCAGCCGACACTTACATGTTGGGGTCCTAGATCCTCCACACGCTCAACACCGAGTAACCGCATGCATGTCTTGGTCTCGTCGGACAGAACTAAATATCCCAGTCAGCAGATGTCCTATCTGATTCTCGGATCCATATACGTACTCTGCAGAGTGCGCTTGACACCCTCAACACCACCGGCTCCTAAGCCCCACAGTGCAGGGCGTCCAATACCGACGCCCCTGGCGCCCAGACAGAGTGCCTTGACAACGTCTGTGCCACGGCGGATACCGCCGTCAATCCATACTTCCAACTTATCAAAGACCTCCGGGCAATATTTCCGGATTTCGAGTAATGTGTGCACAGCTGGAGGGGCGGTGTCGAGAGCACGTCCACCATGGTTGGAAAGGATAATGCCTTTAACCTGGGGAGTGTGGAGGGATGCAATGTAAGCATCCTCGTGAGTCTGAAGACCCTTGAGGACAATGGGTAGATCGGTTTGCTTAGCCAACCACGGCAGAGTCTCCTTCCATGTTAGGGTTGGATCCGTGCCCGCGAAAAGCTGACGTCCGACACCTCCCCCTCCGTTGTTGATATCTTTCGAAGACTTGTCTGCGGCCTTTGTGGCGCTCGGAACTGGTGCTGATGCGCCCACGGTGTTGCCGCGCTCGTCGTCCTCTCTCTTTCCAGGCACAGGCGCGTCCAGAGTGAGAACAATGAACTTGATTGCCTTGAGCTTGTTTATGCGTGCCAGCATGGCCTCGCTCTTCTTCCGGTCTGTTTGGACATACAATTGCCATCCAAATACTTGGTCTGGTGCGGCGTCCTGCACGATCTGCTCTGGGGTCATTGAGGCGTTGTTGGAAATGATCTGCATGGCCCCGAAGCTGCGACAGGCCTCCGCAATGCCAGCTTCACCTGCTGGATGGCCCAAACGAGCCATGGCTGCGGGGGAGACGTAGATTGGCATGCCGATCTTGTTGCCCAGAGCTGTAGTATCCAGATCACATCGCGTGCAGTCGATGAATACCCGTGGTCGCAGCAAGATGGATCGGTAAACTTCAGTATTGAAATGTTTCGTGATTTTGTCGTCAGAGGCTGAGTAGTAGTAGGCCCATGCCTTCTTGCTGACATTTCTGGTGGCCACTTGCTCGAAATCGTCCATGTTAAGTAGACTCTCCATCGGAGGCGGGCCTTCCTTCTCCCCCGCATCTGAGGCTGGCTCCGCTTGTACTTTCGGCAGCGTGTCGGCATTTACCGTTCCCAGGAATGCTTCGGGCTTCAGATTCTCCTCCAGAATGCCCGGGGGGTGAATAGGGTCGTATTCCTCTGTGGCATCTTTTCCTGCAAGCTTAAGAATTATTTTGGCACCACCAGGGTGCTCTGAGAGAAAGTCGGTAACCTGATTGAGTTGGAGTGTTTAGTTTCGGTTAAGCCACAAAAGGATGTATGATTGGGTGAACATACATCGTAAACTTTTCCGTAGAGTATTACCCAGCAGCTCTCTGGAGTGTTGTGTTTTGCGACTGAGGGTCTTCAGTTAGTTTCTAGAATGTGACTCTATCTTGAGATGACAATTGTGCGCTGCATGGGGAATTCCGGGGTATACTAACCTTCCGCCGCATCGAATACCTTGCTCATATTGCTATTCAGAGAGATGTTTGGGTCGTAGCAATTGGTCTTGTTACAATTGTCGAATGCGACCCGCGAGAGGGAAGAGGGAAGAGAGATGAGGAGAAAGCAAGGTGAGTCAAGAGAGAAAAAGACGGTAGGAGGGAGATGAAGTGTTCGGAGCGGTGGCCTCGAAATGTCTCCTCGCATTCAACTAACCCGGTTAAACCCACCCCCATTTACGGCTCGGCCTGAACTCCGACGAGGAGACAAAGTTGGGGGCGGCGATTGAATGCCGCCTGTTTGGGAAATGTCGGTCGCCGACGGGGACTGCTTAGAGAAAGACGATCGGCCATTGGTGGACAATCCGGGGGCCCTTGATGTCATGGCTCAAGCCTGTCTCCAGTTTTCTCTCGGAAAAGTACTTATCTTAGTATGCTCTTGAGCTTCATCTCTTGGATATGAGTAACCCATTTGCAACTCTACAATTGACCCAGGAAAGCAAGTCCTCCACGTAGCGAAAAGGCTATAGGCTACAGGCTACAGCAGACGATGCAGCTTAATGCCAAGTTGAGCCATCAGGTGCCATGGTCGCGTGCTATTCCTCTTCCAGTGCAGCTAGACCACGTGAAAGACCAGGCTGCTTAGCTTAATCCCCTCATCATCCTTCGGCTTGCCCAACGTCCATCTTGAATTTTTCATGTCGACTTGTCGACTTTCGAGGCGGCATACTTTTTGGGGCCTAACTTCAGCCATATCGGAAGTCCCCTCAGTTCGCTTCTCATCACCAAACGAGGAGCCAAACAGTCGCCCCTTCACTCCAGTATCCCGTCGATCGGAGAACTCGAGTCGTACCACTCAGATATTACATGACACGTCGTGATGTTTGAGGTGCGTTGGCTGACTGGCGATTACCACACGGCTTATTCTTCCTACAATGAGATTTGCATCTATAATGATGTCTCTGTACTGACTGGCTCCAGCGTCGCGCCGCGGACCGTTACCGGCTGCGGATGCACCGTGCCCGCACAGTCGCGCTAACTTCGGATGAGATTGTCGAAGTACGAGCAGCGCAGCGGACTTTCGAAGGCGCCTACATCCGTACAGCTTTATCCCAATTTTCTTTCGCCCTGGTGGTATTGAAAATCTTCACCAGCGAGTTCTATAGCACTGGAGCGCTTTTCGCCATCTACGGCACGGGCGTGCTTATCATCGGACTCTTCCGTCGTCAACAAGGCAACCGGCAATTCTTTTCCGAGATAGGGGAAGATGGCATTCGTCACAAGTTCAGAACTAGTGGAAATGCCGTGGTGGTGTTGACGGCCCTTAGCATTGCCGCCTACGCGACCCTTATCGCGCTGACCGTGAGGCTGGACAAATAGGCGGTCACGCCTCGCCAAGACACTTTAGGCAGTATGTCTACAACCTCACTGCGTACCTGCCAAGTACATGCAGAATGCGACGGGCGCATCCCAGGCTTCTCGTTTCCTGCTCCAAGTGCAGTCGAGAGACGTGGCACGCGGTGTGCCGAGCCGACTTCCGCCAACATCAAGCCATATCGACGTTCCAGCGCAAAGTTGAGGGGTGGCCCAACAGGGATAAGCTTGCAGCACGAGTAAGACATTTCCTGCCCGGGTATGTGGGACCTGCGGTTTATGACGAGATGGAGCATTACCGCTTTCAGCCACCCGAACTGGCAGCCTCACTGTCTAGGATCATCATGTTGTCAATACTCAAGGCCTTGCTTGCAATACTCTTAGTTCATTACACGGCCGCCGTCGCCTACGGAAGATTGTCACGACTCTAGTCTCGATTGCGGACATGTAATAGTGGTGGCGCTACTGACGATACGTGACGGTCCGAAGCGTGCTCGGGACGGCGTGTCGAATCTTCGGATTGATCTGCAGTTCTCCTTGCAAGTTGCAACATGTCCCGAAGGGAATAGTTTCTATACATTACCTTCTTGTATGGTTAATTCGTCTCTTCGTATTCAATTACTGAGGCTCATATTCATACTTCTATTCACGACCCCTTCCCGACTTCACCAGCTCTTATGTAGCCCTCCAATATATAAACTGCAGTTTCCTCCGTGCAGTTTCCTCCGTATCCAACTCTCCCCTTCATAAAATCCCATCATCTTGGATACGTGGCACCTTAATAGCCGGGTCGATGAATTTGATAATATAAATAGCCAAAGTATCATATACATTAAAAAACTAGTCACAAAAGCCTTCTATCTCTGGGAAAAGATAATCTTGACTGTTGTAGATGTCTTGCTCATCGACTTGACTTATAATCGTCTCTTGGCTTTCCGTATCACTAGGAAAGGACGAGGTCCACTCCACAATGAGTGCCTTATCTGTTGAAAGAAATATGGTCCCGAATATAATCAATGGAATCTCTCGGTAAAACCATGACACAACTGCGTTGGCTGAGCACTTTCAACAAAGAGACCAGCGTAAAACATGAACGATCTGCAGAAACAACAAATAAAGCTCATTCATATTAAGCAAAGTCGCTTAGACGCAGAATTGAAGCCATACCACAGTGTCAGAGCAATGGCACTGCACTGGCGTGTTAGCACAATGCATATGGCACACCATTACGGGCTGCACAACACCCTTAATGGCAACTTATCGCGGACATGCCAGAGGATCTATTGGTGAACAGAAGAAATCCTGGACTATATTTTTAGAAAATTATCCAGTCACCAGTGGCGATATCCTCTTATTAAATAGAGCGAGTTATAACAGCCCTCCATCGCACTAATCCTCAGATGCTAGAGAGCCGATACGGACGACAAGCTGTCATATACTCTGCAGCGAGTAAATAGTCCGTATAATACAACTACCAAAGCCCATCATTACCAAGGGATGTCCTTTCGATATCAAGAGCCTCTTGTCACGATGGCCTGGTATCAAAAGACTGAGATTTTCGACTACACTACCTACACTACAGGTATGTCCTGGAATGAAGACGATGTCTCTTCCCACAGTGAGGGGCTCAAGATGTCCCTTCTTTATTGAACACATTGCGAGAGTTTGGCCCAATTATTTTTGTCCTTATTGGTTCAAGTTAAAGCGTCCTGGAAGACGCTAGTCTAGCGATCTGCAAATCCTATTTTGGTTGCTTATAGAGTAGCTATAATGGCAATGGTATGCAACCAACTCAGCGCTGTATTATATGAGTATATATTACCTTGGAGGTTGAAGGAGACCAACATGTGGTCACAGGTTGATGCACTTGATCATCGGACTGGGCAGAACGTGGCCGATATACAGAATTTGATTTAGATGTCCAACGAAGAGTCAACCGCAATCAGCCATAAGATACCGGGTGGTTTGTCGGTACCCTAATACTGACGTCTAACTTAGAAATCAACAAGTCACACTATTGTCAGCATTATGTTTTGTGCCAGATGGCAGAAACGCCATGGAGTCACAGGAGAACGATTGTTATTCTCTTGCGAGAGATATAAATGTCGACGAATGATATGTGGGGTGACTCGCAATCAGAGATGAGACAGGAGTACAGAGAAGATTCAATCAGAATATGGGACAGGCTATGGGGGGCATGTTTCTGTCAGAAGGACTTGATATAAAGTTCGGCGACTTCAAAACTTGTGTCTTGCTTGAGGCCTACAGTCGCGTACCAGACTCATTGGTACGAAATATAGCCGGTTCTCCTCTTGCAGTTGGGGAATTTAAAGTTCCATGGGTTCCATTGCATAAGATAAGAGATACTCTGAGCAATAGAGATGGTCGTTTCAGATGGCTTATTGGCAAATCATCACTGACATATGGAAATTTGGATATGACATATGGAATTTAGATATAGCAGCTCACAAGTCAATGTGGTATTAAAGATATATATAAAATTAGTGGTTGAAGGTATAGCCACTGTACATACTACTTTTCGGCCAGCAATAGAAGAGAATATTCATCATGTTTTGACCCTATTTATCCAGAACAAAGAGTGCTTAGTACTAGCTAAACCTGAACCGAAGGGCTCTGAAACGTAGCACTAATGTAACTCAACCTATTATAGAAATATCCGGTTGCAGTGTAGAAAGCGAAGAGCAACAGCTCTTTGTTTGGATGCCTAGCGGATGCTGATAGCTGTCGCTTCGTTTAGCTGAATCGGGACAGGGAACTGCATGTCCTGCAGACATCCGGCTTGGAGTTGGACCACAATCCATGGCCAGATCGTGAAATAGATCGAACTACATTCTGGGAAATAAAATGCTGAGTCGGTCAATATCTCCGTCCACTACTTTTGCTCGCATCCGGACTGAAATGATCAGGTTGTGGATTTTGAATATATTGAACATGACAACCTGATGTATACGGAGAAAATACGAGGCCGAAACTAGCAAGACTGGGTAAGCTGCAACGGAGGCGATCGGATCTGTACAGTGCAGGACAATGTAGATGGAACTTGGAAGGATTGTTGACTTGCCTTGCTGGCACTAAGACATCTGACACCCTTACCTGGGCCAAGCATTCTAGATTTTCTCGGTGACTATCGGTACTATCTATCTGCAAACTTAGTGCGGAATTCAAAGGATTCACTTTAATGGTTGTTTTATTTGCTTTTAGCTCTATGATCGACAGTGCAGAATGACTAGCGGACCTGGTTGGACATTCTGTAACCGCAGTAGACTAGATACATAGTTAAAACCGGGTGTACCAAGTAGTGTTACTTTCTAAATATGTACTTTGGTACATAAGACCACATATTGTAAGAAGTAGCAAATTAGTGGATATGATTTGACATCATGGGGTGGCCATGGATGTTGATCAATCCGCGGAAAAGCTCCACCGTTTGTCATGAACGAGTGGGCGGGAGTGACTTCATCAGCAACGGACGTGACCCTCTTATATGCCCGGTCGCAGTTGGAATCTCTTTGACCTCCAAGACCCTCCGTCAACCCAGATGATAAGAATCATCCAACCGAATTAGCCTTTACCACCTCGTGCACAAAACCCTGGCCTATAACTTCACTTATTAGTTTCAACTGCGCCCTGCAGTTTTGCCTTCGGAAGAGCCGGAATAAGGAGCTTTGCATTGCATGGTTCCGCCGCCCTGGAAGAGCGTTGCGTGCTGTGAACTTAGCTCCGTTCTGCGGGATTCTGCCAGCGTCTATCTAACTCAAGAAGACGCGGTGGTGCAGTTGCTACCGCGTGGTGGTATAAAATTCACGACCGCGACTGTAGGGTTTCTCTCTCTCTCTTCAGAAAGAAGTGGACTGGCTTGCATTCACGGAAAGAGCGAGCAAAGTGACGAGTTGTGTGCCGAACAAGTGAATTTGAAGTGACGTTTGGTTGGGAGCGCGGATTTGACTCATCCCGCCCGCCTCACAGCGCGACGACCAACACAACATCTTCCCCCTCACTCTTTTTTCTCCATCCTTTTCCAAATAACTAACAGTTCCTACCCCTCGATCATCATCATCGCCTCCGTGAGTAAAGACTGTGGTTGACCCAGTTTTGAGGTCGCTGCCAGCATTAGATCGGAGGTGATTCTCACTGTTGTCATCCTCTCATTGGCTCTCCCTCTTATTCTGTTGTTCACCTATCGATTCATCTTTGCATCTCGGCTGCATCCCTGCGCCACTCGCGGGGATGTCTCAACACACCGATATTGCACGATCCGCCATCATGACGTGCGCGTCGGCTCCCGATCACCAACGTGTCGGTGCTCCAGGAAAACCAAATGGATCCGTTTCTCACTCGGGAACTGGGAAAGACGCTAATCTTATGCCTCCCCCCAAATCACTGGTCGGACGAGCGCTAGGCAACGAACTGCATTCCGATTCCCACAGGGGATCGCAGGTGCCCAAGGATGGTGTCGGGTTTGCCCTAACAGACACTCCGATTTCTACCGCACCCTCGTCTCCACCTTTGTATGTTCTCCCGCCTTTTCCTTGCTCCTGTTGGTCCGTTTCTTTTTCGTCTGCTGTCTAGATCTGTTTCGGGGCGTTTTGCTTTCGAATTCTAGATCGTGAAAGCCCTTTTTTCCTTTTTTAAGATTTTAGTTTATTATGTATTCCCCCGGAATGATCGACGGCTGTCAATTCGGGTTATATTGGCCCGGCTGATGACCCGGTCTTCCCCGCGCGTTTGCTTCATACTTCCTTTTCTCCGAGTTCATCCTCTTATCTTGGTTCTGGGATTGGGCCATGTGTCTATCTTCCCGGGAGTCGTCTCCTTATTTGTCGCAGCTGTTTCTGGACACTGTCAGGAACAGAGTTTGTGGCGTTGCAAGCTAACCAGCTATCCACATTAGTACTGCCAATACTACTCCGTCGACCCCGGGTCGAATTCGTGCCACTACCCTCGATATCCCAGGTCTGACCAAGTCGAAGGTCTCTCCCGATGGACGTATTGCTCAACGTGATGTGGGCTCAAAATTGGTTATTGTCATGGTCGGCCTCCCTGCTCGGGGAAAGAGTTATGTCACCAAGAAGCTGGCCCGTTACCTTAACTGGCTGCAGCACGATACCGAGATCTTCAACGTAGGAGAACGTCGTCGTGTGGCCGCCGGAAAGTCTCCAGCTACCGATGGAAGACGTCCGAGTCACAGAGCAAGTACCATTCATAGCGAGCTCGTTGATTCCGTGCGTCGGCTCAGTGTCAGCGTTGGCACTATGAATCAGCCGTCGAAGAAGAGTGACCTTAGGGCCGAAGCAGCTGCGAATGCCTCGGAGGTCGCGGTGACCTCGCCCCCTGAAGTTGAAGGCAACGTCCCGCCTTTCGATGGCAGCCTTCCGCCTCCTGCTGTCCCTACCAAGATCCTCGTCAACGGAAAGGAAGAGGATCCTTCCGAGAGCACTATCGTCCCACCGATGAATGCGTCGCCGGCAGAACAGGATACCATACGCGAGGCGTCTCCCGAGCCCATCGACCAGTCAGCCAACTTCTTCGACCCTAAGAATCAGCTGGCCGTGAAGCTGCGAGAGCAGGTGGCCTTGGACACGTTGGATGAACTGCTGGATTACATCCTCGATGAGGGCGGCAGTGTCGGCATTCTTGACGCCACAAACAGCACCATGGAGCGCCGCAAGGCAATCGTCGATCATATCCGCAACCGTGCTGGCCCCGAGCTGAACATCTTGTTTCTTGAAAGCAGCTGCGTGGACGCGGAATTGCTGGAAGCTAACATGCGTCTGAAGCTGTCGGGCCCCGATTACAAGGATCAGGACCCTGTCAAGGCCCTCGAAGACTTCAAACGACGTGTGGCGCTCTATGAGAAGTCCTATGTTCCTCTCGGCGAATACGAAGAGAAGCACAGCATGGCGTACATTCAGATGATTGATGTTGGACGCAAGATCGTCTCTCATCAGACCCATGGCTTCCTTTCGTCGCAGGTTGTCTATTATTTGCTCAACTTTAACCTCTCCCCGCGTCAAATCTGGATTACCAGACACGGTGAAAGCAAGGACAACCAGCTGGGCCGCATTGGTGGTGACTCCGAATTGAGTGAGAATGGCCATCGCTATGCAAAGGCGCTGAACCGTTTCATCGACCATCAGAAGCAGCAGTGGGAGTTGGTTCAGAGACAGAAGGAAATGCTGCAGCGTTTGCCCCCTCGTGCTGGCGATAGCACTCCTCCCAACCCATCGTACATTCCCCGCGACCGGCCTCGCAACTTCTGTGTTTGGTCGTCGATGATGCAACGTTCCGTGCAAACCGTCGACTACTTCAATGAAGATGAGTATGATGTCAAGCAAATGAAGATGCTTGATGAGCTCTATGCTGGCCAGATGGAAGGAATGACTTACGATGAAATCCGCGAAAAGTTCCCTCAGGAGTACGCAGCGCGTCGGAAGGACAAGCTCTACTACCGCTACCCCGGCCCTGGAGGCGAAGGGTATCTGGATGTGATCAACCGGCTTCGCGCCGTGATCATTGAGGTGGAGCGGACGACCGACCATGTGCTGCTGGTCACTCACCGGTCGGTCGCCCGCGTCCTGCTGGCTTACTTCCGTGGCCTGAAGCGCGATGAGGTTGCTTCTTTGGATGTGCCTCTGGGGATGCTTTACATGTTGGAGCCCAAGCCGTACGGTGTTGAATTCAAGGCGTACCGTTACAATACCGATACGGACTGGTTTGACTACATTCCCGACTTTAAGTTGCAGCAGACTTCCCAGTACTAGACTACGCTAAATGCCCGGTCTAGCACGATTAGTGACAACTCTGCTCACCTTACAGATGCCTTCTACGAGCAATGACTCTTGACGACGTTTCTCTTCATTTCTTCAACTTTGCTTTTCTCTTCTGCTTTTACTCGGTGTCATGGAGCCTTACGCTGGACTGGTTGCCAGCTGTTGCTTCCCCCCATTCCCTTTCGCATACGTGTATTATCCCGGGAGACGTCCAGTTGCGTATTCACTGGGTCTTGGCTTTAGCGCGCATTTGCTTACTCCGGCGCCGGAAGGGTTGCCTTGTCTCCTCTTTCTGAATTCATCCGGGGATATTACTTGCTCGCATTTGTCAACTCGGGCGTTTGGGGATCTTCTCTGGGGTTGCAAATTCTCCTCCCCACTGCAAAGACTTATGGTTGTGAATTATCGGAGGACTTAATGGGCAAAAGGATGGGCTGTCTTATAAGACTAGACTCCACTACGTTACACTTCTCTCTGCTTGTGTTACATATTTGCTGCCTCCATAGAGCAATGTAATTTGCATGGGATCAACAGTACCTGTAGATTGCCTTATATACCCATTCTAACATCGTAATCCCCTTGATTCAAGAACTCTTCTTCACCTGCTTAAACACCTCCAAAAAGGTCTCCGGCTCATCCGCCCCTTCCACAGCATACTGTCCCTGAACCATATAATACGGCACGCCCGTCACCAACTGCCTTCTCGCCTTCTCAGCCTCCAAATCAACCTCCTTCCCTCCCTCCTCCCCATCCAACAACCTCTCAACTTCACTTCTCTCCAACCCAGCCCCAACCCCCGCCTGCACCAACACCTCTCGATCCGTCACATTCTTCTCCTCTTCAAAGTACGCCCGGAACAACTCCTCCGCCACCCTCGTCTGCAACCCCCCAATCACCACATTCTCTTCTTTCTTCTCTTCTACATCCTTCTTCTCCTTCTCCTTCTGCCCCGCATACCACATCAACCGATGCGAGTCCCGCGTATTCCCCGTCCTCCCGCCAAAACTGAACTTGATCCCTTCGCTCTGGCCCACGGCACCCAGTCGATCGAAGATGGCAAGCGCACGGTCGCCGCCGAACTTCGACTTGTAGTATTCGGTCTTGTCCAGACCGGGGAAACTCGGCGAGTTCGGGTTCAGGTAGAAGGTGTGCCAGGTTAGGGTGAATGTGTCCGCGGGGTGGGTGGCTTTGTGGGTTGTGATGGCGCGGGTGAGGCGGCGGTAGCCGACGTAGCACCACTGGTTGGTTTTATGTTAGTATATTGTCTATTTGAGAGCAGGTGTTGGTTTGGAGGGTGGGATGGGCCGGGTTTTGAGGGGGGTAGGTTTAGGTACCGGGCAGACGGTGTCGGAGATGATTTGGATGTTGAAGTTGGTCATTGTGTATATTGACCCTTCTTTAGGTTGATCTTGTATTGGATTAGGTAGAGGAAGATGAATCGTGAAGAAAGATGTAGCTGTATAGTTAGCTGGTCAATGGGGACAATCTCAATGGATTTGTCAGCAGATTAGCAAATTGTGGGGGAGATTCAACCACATGGACTGCGATGGAAACAGTCATTGGTGATCTGCTTGTAGAGCCCGAGTTCCGATCCATCTATTAGCAAATATACTAGTATCGGGGCTGGTCTTCATCTGACCAGTTGGAAAGTGCAGTTGAGTACTAAGTACTAGTGATGCTGCAGGCTGATCCTCCCTCTTTTTCTTCTCCCCGCATGACATCATCTCACTGGTTTGATTGGCCGACGGAAATCCACAGAAGATGATTGACAGACTGAAGTATCTCCTGTAGGGGTCCAATGGGTGGACTTTCCTTCAATAGAGAGTCAAACAGAGTTGATTCAACAATATTATATCACGCCCGGCACTGACGCGAGTCCGCCTTGGCCTCGACTTGCTGGCAGGGCTGGAAGGCAGGGCCGGAGTGCTAGCCAACCCGACGCATGGCCTTGTACCATACGGCGCCTGAGACCGGGTGTTGCAAAGGTGCAATATCTGACGCATTGGCAAGTGGTCTAGGAAGACTTTGGTTAGCAACGTCCACAAGGCCTCGGCAGTGTTCTTCAATTGAGCCATCCTTTGTGATCGTGCTGACCGTGAACTCGTGCCATGACTCCTTAGTGCTGGAGCACGGTTGCAACGACAATAGGATCAAGGTGCTACTTTTTGTGTCCAGTGTGAGCATTCGGGGGAATGTCACGTTGGGCAGTTTGAGAGGGAGTTCGGAGATGGAAGTCCCCTCTGGGATCTGCCCAGTTGCATACGTCTTCTGGTAGATGGTTTCAGTAGCCATAGCAATGTAGCCCGCCGCGGGGAAGATGACGCTGTCTCCGAGAAGATGGTCGCGCAGCCAAGTGATGTCGTTTAGCCGCAACACATTCTTCCATGTTGGATCAGTCCATGGGCTGCCGAGGATATTGCTACCAAAGAGGTCATGATAGGGGAATTTTCGGAAGCGCCAGTCTTGACTGGATTCGCTTTCGTGCCAGTATTTCACGGAGTGGTTCCACTGGTAGTTGGGTAGGTCCGACACAAAACACAGGGCGAGCTTCGCCTCCATCATCGTTGAATGTTGTCAGGGATATGGGGTAGCCCATGGCGAATAACGTCCCGGCTGCATGTAGCAAGGCCGAGATCGCGTTAGGGCCGCGCTTCCAGGCCGAGACATCCTTGACTGATGAGGAGGCGGCGTTTTTTGGTCTGGTTTATCGGTCCGGATAGTGCGTCACTTGGCCCAGTTTCGAAAAGAAAATCCACAGCCTCTAGTCCCGTTATCAGCTCGTGTGTCGCCTGTCTAAAGAGCACAGGCGAAACCATGTTGACGACCCAGGAAGCAGGCCCTGGTGGGGTTTCGAGTATCTTGCCGGTGGTCGACGACACCATTAGTGAGTGCTTCTTGTTCTTACTATGCTTCGGCCACTCGACATGTTGCCTCAACAGATTCTCATATCGCCCAGCGAGTACATCACCTTGGCCGAGAGGGTGACGCTCTGCTGGCTGTTAATGCAGGCAATCTCAATAGTAGTGCCCTCCAAGTATGGTAAGACCTGGTCAGGTCCAAGACCAACAGCCATCATCCCGACAAGTGCCTGGTAAACGGCTTCGAATGTAGCTTTACCCCGATAATACGCTATCAAGATAGCCTGCTCGGGGGTGATGTAGCCTGCCGCGACAGCTGCTGCAATCTCCCCGGATGAATGCCCGATGACCGCTTGAGGCACCACATCGGAAGCCTGAAATAGAGCTAGCAGTGCCAGTTGAAGTGCCGTGACAAGCGGCTGTGATAGTTCCGGACGTTGGACCTGGGCACCGTCGGCCGTCAACTCTTCGTAGAGCGACCAGGATGGCGCATCATGAGCGTCTTGTAGTATTCCATCCAAGTGCTGGATCGTATGTGCGGCTAGAGGGAAAGTTTCAACGAGCCTCTACCTAACATATTCGAGATTGTCTTATTTGGAATCAAATTATACATGATATTAGGACTGCTCTCATTGTAAACACAGCCTGGTCAGGTGACAGGACCGGGGGTATAATCCTTCTTTATAAGACGTCCTCTCCTCCATCTGCTTTCCCCCTCCTTGCTTGATCCCCCCATCTGGTGGTAATCTTTCCTTACCACTTCTCCTTGACAATGTCCAAGGCTCGAGGACATGCTATAGTTTCCTCCACGTCTAATTCCCGCACTGATGCGACTGGCAGCACTCTTGACAATGCCACTCCCGCACCCGCACCCTCCCCGTCCAGGGAGTCCGGAGCGCGTCTCACCACCACCACAATTGCGTGGACTATGATGTCGCTTTGTTTGTCTGTGCTCCTCTCCGCTCTTGACTTAACAATTGTTACTCCTGCAATTCCCGCTATAGTTGGCACGTTCAAATCTTCGGCCAGCTATATCTGGGTGGGAAGCGCTTATACCCTGGCCTACGCAGCCATAACGCCAGTATGGGGCTCGGTCTCCGACATCTGGGGCCGAAAACCCATTATGCTCATTGCAGTCGCTGTTTTTCTCATCGGCAGTCTTGTCTGTGCCCTTGCACCGCATATGGATGCTCTGATCGCGGGACGGGCCATTCAGGGATTAGGTGGCTCCGGAATGGGGATCATGGTCAATATTGTTGTCAGCGATATGTTCTCGCTACGAGATCGGGGGTTGTATCTCGCAATCACTTCGCTCGTATGGGCAGTTGGCAGTGCCATAGGGCCTGTTCTGGGTGGCGTTTTCACATCGAGGCTCACTTGGAGATGGTGTTTTTGGATTAACTGTAAGATGTTTCATCTAAACTGATGGCCCTTAGCTTACTTTCTCGACTGTATAGTACCAGTCGGAGCCGTCTCCTTCCTGGTCTTGCTCTTCTTTATGAGGGTTCCGAGCCCTCGAACACCCATTGCCGCCGGCCTGAAAGTCATTGACTGGACAGGCACTCTTTTGATCATAGGCGGCTCTTTAGTGGTCCTCCTTGCCCTTGACTTTGGCGACGTCGTCTACTCCTGGTCTTCTGCAACCGTCATCTGTCTATTGGTTTTCGGAACGGCAGTGATGGCGCTGTTTGTGGTTAACGAATGGAAGATTGCCAAAAACCCAATTATTCCAGTTTGGCTGTTCACCTCGCCGACCAAGATAGCGCCTTATGTTGTCTTCGCGTGTAATTCATACGTGTTTATTGGACAAGCATATTACCTGCCCTTATATGCGCAGTCCGTTCTGGCCGCAAGCGCGCTAAGATCAGGCCTCTACCTTCTACCACTAATCGTCTCATGTTCCCTGGCCGCGGCGGCAGCCGGGATCTTCATGCAGCAGACCGGGAAATATCTCCCGGTGATGTATATTGCCCAGGGCTTTTTAGTTCTCGGCTCCGGTCTACTAGTTAGTCTTGAGTTTGAAGCTAATATGACCAAACTGGTCATCTTCCAGATCCTAGTCGGTATCGGTGTAGGCATGAACATCGAAGCGCCGATCCTTGCTGCTCAGGCGGCAACCAGTATCCGGGATACAGCAGCCGTCACTGCGACAATGGGGTTTGTCCGGTCTCTCTCTACAGCTATTTCGGTTGTTGTCGGGGGTGTGGTGTTTCAGAATGAGATGAGTGCGAAAAACGAGGAATTAGCAAGCCAGCTGGGTTCCAACTCTACTTTGGCCAGCGATTTCAACGGCGACAATGCCGCTTCGAGTGTGGAGGAGATTAGCACTCTCGGACTAGATGCAGTTCAAGAGACCTTGGTTAGGAAGACGTACTTTGAGGCGTTGAGAATGGTGTGGGTCATGGTAGGTCGTTGCGATATATCAACACGTCGCATTGCTCTCTTTCAAAACCTTCAGTGCATCTGTGCTAATGTTGTGCCCTGTGTGCTATTAGTATGTGGCATTTGCTGGACTAGCTACCGTTCTTAACCTGTTTGTGCCAGCGCATAAGCTTCGGACTGAGAATGAGGGCGCCGTGCTGGGGGCCGACCGGTCAAGGCAACAGGGGAGCCCTGCTGCTGGGGCCGCCGAATTGGAGTTGCGGAATGAGCGAGAGGATTAACGTTGGCTGTAGTGTTGACATACAAACCCAAGGGTAAGTGACTGGGTCGAAGTCCTCGGTTGCCAGCTACGCAAACATTCTACGTAGCCTAACCTGCGATCGGTTACGTCCTCATCATGCAGCTGCAGTCATTATAGTTTCTTATGGCCTTACGTACCAGATCTAGTGCATATTAGATATACGTGGTAGATTTAGACTTGATTGTCATATAGATTTCGTATGCAAAATGCTTGAAAGATCAACGAAAGGACAAAGGTGTGCTCTTATGAATCAATCCGCAGGCTTCCTATCTCCGATGAATAAGCTGGCATCCTTCTAACCAGTCTAAAACAACTTTCTGGCTTAAAGTGCGGCATATTGTGTCGGAAGCCCAGCAGGAGCACATGATGAATCTAATAATAAGCATGGGACCGATGCTAGTGAGCATCCAGAAGGCCTTTAATCGGAACAGTTTCAGTAGTGACCGACACACTATACATAGTATATACAGTCTATAGAGTTAGTGGTTATCTATTAGACTTAACTCACAAGCAGGAATTACCGTAATATTGCCTTGAAAGTCCGTCGACTTTTTGGCGAAAGATAGACGGGTTTATACTAAATTGGGCGGCATACGGCGGTTAATAGCGGCCATCGGGCAAGTAGGCGGGAGCTATGAGGCGGCAGGTGACTTACTTAGTACTAAGGCTAGGTAGTATAGTTACAAAAGCAGCAAGAACAACACGGGCGCGATCCTCGACGTCATAGGACAGGCGGTGGATAGCGGCAGACCGACAGTTCAATGAAGCAACTGTTTCTGGCATCCCCACTAACCACATGGCATCGAATAGTTATTATTTGGTTACCTGTTGACTAGGCATCGAATAGTTATTATTTGGTTACCTGTTGACTACTACTTACTCTTTGCCCCTCTACACCCTCCCAGATCTTAGGAACCAGAGCCAGTCTTGCCTTGCTGCCTCCTCTCCATGATCATTTCGTTCCTTCTTCGCTGCCATGATTCCATCTGGGCCTTTCTCCATGCCACTATCCTCAACATCCCTCCATCCCGACTATATATCTTCCCTACCTTGGCTGGTTCAGTCTGGTTCCTGACTCTGGCGTCTTTGCTTCTGACATGGCTGGCTCGTGGAATGCCCGTCTATCCGGGCCAAAGTAATCCTCATGTCGCGTGGGTGTTCTCTCTACCTCAATTACAAACTACATACTCGATGGATATTAATTTCGAGGATAGCTTCATCTCCGACATTGCCTCCTTCGAACTAAAACCCCTCTTCCTCATAGGTGCTTCTATGACCGCCGTAGGATTCGTTTTCACAGTAGCTGCCGTGCACGTCATGCGCTACGAGCCCGGTTTCGCCTTGGTGAAATGCCCAGTTATCTCTGAAGAGACCTCAAACAACCAGGGGAACAATAATACCTACACCCAATCTAGCGGCCACAACCACCGAAACGCCTATAACCACATAACCGGTGGCGGACATAATGAGGGAGAAGAAGAAGAAGGGGAAGAAGAAGACCAAGAAACAACCCGCACTCTCAAAGTCATCTCCCTGTTATCAATCCTCGCAGCCGGAACGGCCAGCACAGCGCTCATCCTCCTCGGGGTAATGGATACATTCCGCTATAAATTTGCCCATCACATCTTCCTTCGCATCTGCTTCGGATGTCTTGCTATACAGTCAGCCGGCACAGCGATTGTTTACTCAACGGAGGTCCTGAGTTTCGTGTCGTATCTGTACCATTGGGGGGTATGGGGTAATGATTGGGGGAGGAAGAGGAGTACACGAGTTAGGATATTGTATGTGCACATTATCCCTCCTATTCTTCTGCATTACATCGCCAGATACACACATCGTTTCTAACATGCCGGGAATATATAGCGCATCCCTCTCCACCATCCTCATCCTAATACAACTCTTCCTCGGCGTGGCCTTTATCTCTCTCACTATCCCCGAAGATGCAAACGATTACAGAACAGCTGGTATTCTCGAATGGATCATTGCGTTCCTGGGAACGATCTATCTATGGCTCTTCTGTGGGTTTTTTGATCGGTAGGACTCCTCCATAAACATCATATTATCACCATCATTACTGACCGCCAGCAGAACCTCCTTCGAAGGCTACGTCCCCAGCATATTATATAACGCGACACCACATGGCAAATTCCTCGGCCGTCCCGCAGTACCAGTGGTAGGAGTAGCCGAAGCTGAGTCTTCGTACAACCCTACTGATGATACTTTGGATGTGGATCCTGAGCGGGCGCCGTTGCTTCCTCAGTCTCAGTCTCAGTCTCAATCTCAGGGTGGGCTTGGGACGAGCTATACGTGATGATGATGTAGATGACAGTTATGTTTAGATATGATATACTATGATGTGATGCTCATGTAAGGCGTGGCGTTGGGTTTGTGTGTGTATATAATTTCATATTTAGCTGTATATACAACTTGTATGAAGAGAACTCAACGATTTATGATGAGGTTGAGGCTATAATACTAATGTATGAAAGTAATAACTAAGCTGACTTAAAGGTACCCTATAAATATAATATTCACTTCTCATTTTCATGTTACTCGCTCGTGTCGACATGACAAAAACCCATCTAATCACATAATAACATGCTAAAGATACGTACATTGACAATACACCACCCCCATATATACTTCAAGTAAAGGGGGGTGGGTGTGTCGACCGTCTCATACAATCTATTTTGAATTTACAGAAGTTGTGGTTGTGGCTGTGGCTGTGACTGACTACATTCTGGGGCCACAAATCGCCTTAAGAATTGAAAGAAAGGGAATCATCTCACAGAGTCTGACCACCTTGGTTAACGAGTTGCCACATGTTGGCCTTGTTCAGGAACGCAGTCGAGTTGAGCCCGGGAAGGGGCTCCATGACCGCAGGTTCACGGTTTCGGAGCTTCTCCATGGTAGAGTTGTACTAGATTTGAGGTTAGTTTGAGCTCTTTAGTAGGGATGCAGGCGGGATAAGAGCCTACCTTAAACGCAAAGTTTAATACCAAGGCAACGGCCAGACCCACGCAGACCACGATCGGACCAAACATGTTATCCAGGTCCTTTCCGCTCCGTTGGCGGATCAGGCGGGCGCGCTTCTCGTGCATGTACCATCCCCAGGCGGCAGCGAAGATGGCGAAGCAGGTGTAGACAATGGATAGGGCGCGAGCAATGTCATTGTGCTTGCCAGCTGCGTTGTACAAGCCCAAAGATAGCGAAGAAAGCAGGATGCTAATGTGGAGCCACTTGATAAAGGTACGCTGGTTGGCGAGCCAGACCTTGGTCTCGACACGGACTGGGCCCGAGTCCTTGATCCATGTGCCCGGCTCACGGACACCGGGGGGCAAGACTACATTGTCTGCAGGTGCGCGGTTCTGACGGGAAATGGTGAAGGAGGGGAAGAGAGAGGCCAGGCGCTTCATGGTGACTGGCTGTTCCGCCTCTGCGGCGGACTGTTCGGCAGGCTCCTGACGCTCAGGGGTCGGTTGTGACATTGTCGGGGCAGACGGACGAGGGATCGGCTGTACAATTTGGGAGGATTGGCGGCGACGTGAAGGCCCCGTCTCGGTGAACATCTGGACGGGGGACCCGACAATGTGTCGAGTTGACGGTGTCTTGCCTCCCAAGAAGCTCCCGACAGCCATATCGTCTTCGGCACGCTTCGCCAGACGCTCCTGTTCTTCGTGGAAAGCCGTCTCAGGGTCCCGCCTGATGTCACTTTCCAACTCACCGAGCCAGAAGGGGAAGCTGTTGACATAGTCTTCGAACAACTGGGCGACGCCATGTACGAATTTGGAGAACCGCGGGGCTTCCTTCACGAGATGGGACACCATCAAGTCCTTGACCCATTCCGCGCTACGTGCCACATCCCCTCTGATTTTGATCTCCAGCAGGCCATGGGGGAAACGAGCGATTTCGCCGGTTCTGATCGACTGGAAGGGATATTCCATGCCAGCATCGTCAATGTCCCTCCGGTGCCATTCATGTGCGTCACGGCACGGGCGCAGCTCGTCCAGCGCATCTTCCCGGATGAGTGCCAGGTTCGTATCAAGAGAAATACGAATTCGGTCATCTCCAGGGATCTGGAAGGCAGTGCGGGTGTAGTTGGCGCGGAGCATGGGCTGCAGGTTGTGCTCCTTGATGAAGGATTGGAGCTCATCGACATCCTTCTTGAAAGCTTCCGCTTGTTCGGAGTCTCCGTTGCCCATGTTCTCCATGCGATGCACCTTCTTATCGAAACGGTACTCTCCGTCCAGGAACTCCTTGACGTGCTTCTGCTTGAGCTGCACCTTGACCTCTCGACTGCGATCATCATCGGTGACCACCTTCTTCTCCAGGAAGATGGCGGGCTTATCCCGTAAGTTGCCAGTCCAGCGCAGCCGCAGCGAGCCCGCTTCAGGGGCACGAGCCACCTTCTGGGTGTAAAGGTCGAATTGCGGGTTGTCGAAGTAGAGGGAGGTAATCGTGGGGTCATCGGGGATGGTGTTGAGATCCTTGGAAGTGCCAGGGTTGTAGATGAGGACAGGCAGTTGTCGGAGGATGTAGGTCTTCACCTCCAGGATGTTGTCTGCATGAACCCAAAACTTGAATGAGGAGTAGACATCCTGACCGACACGAGGCTCGACGGGGTCCTTGGCTTCGATTATACCTTGGCTGAGGATCTCGCGGGCGAAGGAATACATCACAGACAACCGACGGACCAAAGGGGAGTAATCCTCCGAGTTGAAGGGAAGTTGCGAGAGACGCACTTGCAGCAGAGGCTTGACACGGTAGCGAGTACCACGCTTGCGATCATGCTTCTTTGCAGCTTTGAGGAAGCCGGTAAAGTTGATACGGCTGTACTTCTCGAGCTCTGTCACCTCTTTTGTGATGTTGTCCAGTTCCTGTAGGACATCGGAAGCAACACGCTTCTTCTCCTCTCCATCCACCACGGTAGGTGCATCATCCTCGGGTGAGGTTGTCAACGGGCGCAAGCGGGCTTCGCAG